AGATTTCGAGCGCAAAAATAAACATGTCATTCTAAAACTAGGAATAAATACAGCCAGAAGGTTCAAGAAATTGTATTGTACAAGAACATGAACTAAAGGTGATTGTTGACAAATTTATCGTCTGAAACATTTTGTTTATCAACTAAGCAACGACAATTTCCGAATTTTCGTTCGAGATACATTTCTTTAAAAAAAAATTGTGTCGCCAAATATAAAAAATTTGCGTGTTCACAATAATTAAACTTTAGGATTTATTCTACAATTTGAGTGGGTTAAAAAGCTTAACTTTTCGAGAGTTTTCTTAACTTTTTAGTTTGAATTTTTGTTTTGAACAATTTTGCAAAAATTTTCGAAGTCGTGTCCGTTAAAATCAACAATTTTTTACATGAATTATATTTCATTCCATACTTTAAATGCCAGGACGCTTTCAATTAATGCCTAGTCTACCCATTTGCTATATTTTCTCGTTTGTTTTACTAATTTTTGACCAATTAATAAGCATGTTTTTGTTTTAGAAATTGATATTCAAATTCCCCGCCATATTTTCATAATTTGGTGCATGCGCAGACGTTTTTCCGCGGTGTTTAGTCGACCTGAGTGTTTAACGCACGCGCACACAGACAACTCGATAGCATAGTATCTGGCGCTCCGCGCAGATACAAAAATATTTGGCCATGTTTACATTTGTCTAGACATGATCAGAAAGTGTTTAGTTTAAAACATGTTTAATTAAAAATAGAATTTTCACTAAAATATAAATATGCTGTTGCTTGATCCACGACGCACTCGGCACGGCAACGTATGCAACGACGGCCAGAAAAAATTATTCTAAACAATTATTACGTGTATTATGAGTTGTATTAATTTAGGGAAGCCTCACATATCGATTTTTTCCACGAGAAACGTCATATGTTCGTTTGGGGGGGGGGGTTGGCAGCTGTGACGTTTCTCTGTAAACATCATGGAAAAATCGATAGTTTTTATCTTTGCAGAGTATAAAAAAGAAAACAATTTGATACAAACAGCAGTCTATATATTCGTAATGCCATACCTGTTCTATACCTATACATTTATATTATTACGCCTTCTTTGCATTTGAAAACACTCAAATTTCAAGAAATACGCGCTAAAATTATCAATATTTCATGCAAAAAAAGTTGTTTTGAGAAACGTTGGAAATTTTGAAGTTTATATATATATATATTAATAAAAAAAGAGCATGTCAGCAGAAGATGACATATTCTTCGCGGAAGCAACGCCAATAGCCGACCGAAAAAATAGTAGAAAATTACCTTATGCGTACTATATTATAAAAAGAACAAAATATCGATAACTATGTGTGACGTTTTTAAGGGGGGTGGGGGGGTCTCCAGAGAAACGCACATATGACGTTTCTCATGGACAAAATCGATATGTGAGGCTTCCCTTAGTACTACACAGTCTGACGACGTGGTGAACCTGCAGGCGCTGTATACAATTAAGACGTAAAATTCTGGGGTTTACCTGACACTCAGGGTTTACTCCTCTGCCCCCGCCAAACCTGGGGCTAGCGAAGATGAAAACCCCGAGTGCGACTTGATTATTCATTTCTTTTCGTAAATATGAATCTCATTTTATTAATAGCCGCCGTCGTCAAGCTTGCTAGTTGTTTGCATTAGATGCTACGGTGGACGCTTTTATTCAAATAAGTGTCTGAGAAGTATTAAAGAATTAAAGGCAACATCCCACAATAGTCAATACTCTTTAAGAAAACAAGGCGAATGCACTTTATCTTCAGTGAATATTATTTTCATGAGATATAATGTCGGTCAAGTCTTTCCAATATTAAACTGAAACAGGTGTATTGTGCAAGAATACACATCACTCAAATGTTTATTATAAAAAGGACAAAATGTTGCTGTCGGAACTATTCCTCGGCTTTACCATATATATTTTACATATATCAGAGCATTGCGTGCAACTCATGAGCTCGTACTTTGAAATGTTTTATGCATACTCGTAATTATGTAGGCTATTTGTCTAAAGTCATCGTGCTGAGCATTTAAATTAGTCATGCCTATGTTGCCCATGTCTAAATTAACAGGACAGGTGCAAAGCGATTGCCGAATGTGTTATGGAAATAAGGGTAGCACTCATGTGCGATTTATTCTGAAAACATTCATCACATGTGGGGGAGACATTAGTTGAAGCCGAGCCCAAGAAAACCTACCATGCAAGGAGACAAAAAAAGGGCAAGATTGTGAATTCATAAGGTAAATGATATTGTCAATTAGTAAATTTATTATATTTCTATGGTTCATTGTCTGTTGAAAATTGAGCGTTTTGTATTTACAGCAAATATACTTCAAACTCTGTTTTCATGTAGTTCATATAATCGATTGCTATATATAAGTGTAATGTGCTTGTAACCACAAAACATCACTGGGCGTTCGCCGGTTTAGACAGAAAATACAAATGTTGATGAGACTATTCCAGCTATTAGTTTTGTATATAAAGTTCATTTAATCGTCTTTTCGGCAATGCGACTCTAATTTATACTTCAATCAGCTTGTTTTAAATTTTATATGAAGAATGTATAAGTACATGGCTTATTCCCTTAAGTCTACTGCTAAGCTGTTATGAAACTTAGCAAGACTTAGTAAAAACACTGATAAGACCGCTCATGAACTAATGTCACTAATGTTAATATAAAGCCGCACCATAGGCTCAGTAGGCCAATATAGCTCTTCCAAGCCGCACCATGCATAGGCGTCAGTAGGCCAATATAGCTCTTCCAAGCGACAAGAAGTAGTCATGCTGTGAAACTGTATCAATTTATTGCGTATTAATGCATTTAAAATTAGTATGCCGAGAAGATACCCTCTTGCATTTATATTATAAAATGGAAATACACGCTATAATATCAATTGACACGTAGTCAAACCGAAGATTTCCCTATCCCGGAGCTTAATTCTCTTATAAAACGATATATCGTAGTTTGGCTAGTGATTCACTTCACAATTTTCACTTGAATATTGAACAGCATGCATGTTTACTCTATTAATTTTGTCATGGACACGTACAGCACGCTCTGACTTATATTTCTACTTCAAACATTTGAGTTTGACAGCGTATATAATGCAGGCTAACATGCATGCACCTTACATACTTTCGACGCCAAGAATGAAGAATACACGTTTGGATGGAAATTTTGCTTTTTCTTAAATATACACTAACGCCAAACCGGTGGATAATTTTCGCTTGAACAGCAAATTAATGCCGGCTAATTGTTTAGAACATACTATAGTAATATACCTTCTAATATTGGGTGGAAATGTCGTGTTGACTTACTAACGAACGCAACAACTTTCCTCCCAAAACGTTATTAAATGAAATTGAATTCTAATTTTTATTGTCTCATGTTTCATTTTACCGCAGTGGCGACGCGTTTTTTAATTTAAGCATTATTTTATTAAAACGCATTATTTTGATGTTAATATGACAAAATAATTGTTTACTAATCATTCTGACTTATGTGTCTGCAAGCGGAAAGCTGTGAAGTTTGCATACTGATAACATTATCATCATGTTATATCCGCTAATTATCTATGTGGAAATTAGTTTCAAGAGTTATTTACTGAGCACACTCTGAGCGGAGCGCGTAGAACGAAGCCTGTAGCGAAGTTGCTACTTCTGTTCAGCTATTTAGTAGGAAATTGAAAATAAATGCTATTTCAGATCCACTGAAGCACCTAGTCACCAGGCCTTTTCTGTCGCAGCCACGAATATACTAATACTACGTCGGACAACAGCTGAGCATTTTGTACAGTTCATGCGCTAGTTTAAGCACGCAATTCCTGCAAGACAACAACTATTAAAAGATTTATACTAGCTGAATTATCAGGAAGCAGCGATGTTTTCTGTTCAGAACTACAACGCGCCAAATAGAACTAGTACCCAGATCATTTCCTTTCAACAACAGAGCAAATACTAATCATTGATATATCGTGAGTACACTGATGTGAGTATTGTACATATTACGAAACGTCGCATAAGGGGCCGACCATTTAACTTTTGAAGGGGGGGGGGTGATTTTGAAAAAAAAATTTCCTGCAAGGCTATTCTGGACAAAAAAAAATACCTGCACTAACAAACTGGGGAAAAAAATATCCTGCCCCAGTATTTGGTGGGAAAAAAAATGTTGCAAAACAGCATGGTTGCAGGGATCGATTTGACCAGTCCCAGAAGATCAGGTTAATTTCTTGTTGGAAAACTCCTCAAAATGCTGGAAATAGCTTATCTGAGCTTCAAAAAATCCAAAATTTTCTGGGGGGGCATGCCCCCAGACCCCTCCAGAGGCTCGCACCTTCGGTGGTCGACTCAGTTGTTGCTGCCCTATGACGTATACTTATTAGTTAAACCATGCATATATATGCTGTAGGTAGCTGCAGTGATACAGACAGGGCTGTAGCAAGGCGGGTATTGGGGGTGGTTAACCCCCCCCCCCAACTTTTTTAGAATCAACATATTCAGAAAATCGGGTTGGCCATTCGAAAAATTACGGCAATTATTTAATAGTAGAACAAAATTTTAGTTGTTAAACAGAGAAAATATTATAAAATTGTATTGTCACTATAAATTGTAAGCAAATTGTAAATTTCGTCATACTAAAACGCTTTTTTCTGACCATCAGCATTCTGTCAAAACTTCCCCAAAGTCCAGGAAATGGCATTTCAGAGACTCGAAATTTCCTCGGGCCTCCGGCCCTCGTTTTCTGCCCCCAATAAACAAAAGCTCCCTACCGCACTGCTTCTGTAATATGTCTGTGCGTAAAATATGCGTATTTTTGTTTGTAAATTGCGTCTTCATTTTCCGAATAGCAAACATCTTCGTGGCTTAGCATGCCATGATATATTCGGAAATTATTTTCGTCATTCGGAAATTTTTGGCCTACACCCTTTCCCCCCCCCCCAAACTATACATGCTAGCTACGGCCCTGGATACAGCCTTGCCGACTGGAACTTTTCCAGTTGCACATCTTTAAAAAAGGCACTGAACCAAATGTTATAACTCATAGCAAAATGTATTATTAAGAGCAATGCATGAAGCTAAAAAACTCAATGTTAACTATAATCTAAATAGTATAAGCTATTGAAAAAAAAAATGCTGCGAAAGAAAGTCTGGCAAAAAAAAATCGTACATGGTGATGGTGATAAAAAAAATATCTTGCACATAACGATCCCAGAAAAAAGTTAAATGGTCGGCCCCTTAGGGTCTTGAACCCTAAAGGCCGTTTTCCAGTTCAAGCGTATCGTACCGTAACGTAGCGAAAACGTTTTTAAATTTCATGAATGTTGATTGGTTAGTACTTCCGTAGTACGTCAAAAAGTTGACTTCCGACGAACTTTTTATTTTGATACGCGAATACACCCGGAAGTACGTGGATTTATAAACCTCTTCGATCTGCGCATGTTCACCGATACGTTACGGTACGATACGGGCGAAGTGGAAAACAGGCTTAACAGTGTTCAATACCATATAGATAGATCGTAATATAGTTTTTCGTTTTACCTCAAAACAACCACAACAGTCTGTTTCATCCGTATAGGAATCATCAGGTGTAACCTATAACGATATTTCCCTATACGATATTTCAAGTGGTCTGATGATTCCTAAACGGATGAAACAGACTGTTGTGGTTGTTTTGAGGTATATATATATATATATATATATATATATGCGAATGTCAATGAGTATATTGAGTGTTGAATCATACGAATAGAGTGCTCGATGCGTATAGTAGAGCAAATGAAAGACATACTTGAGTTACTTCGTTTAAACCATTTTTTCACGACAAATTTGTTTCGTATGGCAAACTAAGCTTGCCACACTCATCAGGTGAATGATGATATCGCATATTTACATGATGTTATAACCTATAGGTAACTTGAGCTACTATATAAAAATGTTTGACGTCATCAGGAAAGCGTAAACCTATGTGTGTAACCTGAGCTATTGCCTGCAAAGCAGGAATTTTTTCCTGTGCCTAAAAATATCTCACTTTAAATGGGCCCGCTGTGTGTCCAACGTAGGTTTCTTTCTGGTGGTTGTCTTCTCTCGTTACTGCGGCCTGGTACACAACGCTTTCGGTTAAACATTTGCCAGGGAGGGGGCAGGATTCTTCCTGGCGGCAATTACAGTTCCTATTGGGAATTTTAGTTGCCTCGGGCTGCTTGCAATCGAGTACGGTTCTGTTGTGCGCCGTAATGATATTGTGCACGTTGGGCATACAGCTGTAGCTTACCTTAAGGTTGTTCCTATTGAATAGTTTATGTAGAGGATGGTTTGGCGGGAAGCATTCATCAATAGCTTGCAGGAATTTGTGGTCAATGTCGGTGGCAACGTTGGCGCCGTAGGGAGGGTTAAACCATATCACATTTCTGTTTCTATTACGTTTAGGTTTTGGTGGCTGGGGATTGTAATTGAGGACATAGTTAAAACCGCTCTTTCGCAGGGCTTCCTGATATGGGGGCACAGCCGACTCGAAGGATTGCTTATCAGAGGATATATTCGATAGCCTCTTGTTGATAGCGTCTGCTATGCTGCGTAGTATTGGTGGCGGGTGGTTGCTGTTGTGGTTGATATATAGCGGTGTATTTCCGGGTTTCATATATGTCTTGTAAGATGACGATCTGAGATCAAGTGTAATGTCTAGGTAGACGACGCATTTTTTGTTGGCTTCGATGGTTATTTTCAAGTTATTGTCACTGAAAACTTTGCAAATATTTTTCTTAATGATCTCGATTTCGCGCGGTGTTTTGTCAAATGCTGCGAGGCCGTCATCTCTGTACAGACCGATATTGTTGCCGTACTCTGCCGTTAGTCGTGATAGAAGATAAGATCCCACTATCTCGCATGTCTCAGCCCCGTCAAAACTACCAATGGTTACATCGAAAAGTGAATCGGCTGATGTTTTCTTTCGTCAAGTTGTACTTCTGTTGAAGAGCAGCGATTGCTTTGCTTTCATGATGATGGCTTTCTCATTTTTGGTTATTTCGTCGTATTGTGAGGCGAATGCTAGGGATTCTTTCAGGAGCTCTTCAGATATAGATGGATAGAAATCTATAGTAATGACGTCTTGTCATTCACTCGGCAGCAGGACTATACGGTCGGAACTAATTAAATATATATAGCAGATAGGACACGTTGTGTAGAAGGAACACACACACTAAGACATCAATTAGAAGTGTATCGTTATGTTATGCTAAATATATTCTATAGCACAAATATATACCTAGTACTTAGATGTTACAGTGGCGAAGAGGAGTAAATTTTATGGAGCAACAATCTCACAATCTAACAGTCAGCATGGCACATTCAGTACCTATTCGCCCAATGCCCGAGTTTAATCCCGACGCTGAACTTGGCGCGAGCGTCGCTACACGTTGGAAAAACTGGGTCGCAGACTTTGACCTGTTTCTCCTGGCTAGTGGCGTTACAGATCCTAAACGACAACGAGCTTTGTTGCTATACCAAGCTGGCGCAAGAGTGCGCGAAATCTTTAAACAGCTGCCTGACACTGGCGAAGACAAAGACTATGATATTGCCAAAGCGAAATTACTTGCCCATTTCGAACCTCAGAAAAACAGACGCTACGAGGTGTATCGATTTCGAAAGGCTGTGCAAGAACCAAGGAAACTCTCGATCAGTTTCACACACGGCTTCGACCTTTAGCCCAAACTTGCGAGTTCGCATCGCCAGATTTCGAACTCGAAGAACAAATAATTATTGGAGGAGCCTCTTCCAAAATCCGCAAACGTGCGTTGCGTGATCCAAGTTTTAACTTAGCTGCCATGCTCTTAGAAGGCCGCCGAGACGAACAGAGCGCTTTCCAAGCTAAAGACATCGAATCGACATCGCCCGACAGCGCAACGTGCACCTTTGACGAAATTAACGCTCTCTACAGCAGACCTTCCAAGTCACGCATTTTGCGTGAGACACACGCATTTGACATATTTCTCACGCTCACACGCATAACTCACTTATTTTCTCACGCAAAAGCCAAAAAATAGGAAGCGATCCAACTTTTGTTTTAACGCTTCTCTTCGCAAGCAAATATTCCTATTTAGCTGAATCAATAGCTATAAAATAAAGTATTTTTCGAGCAGTTGCTGTGTAACGTATAGCAATGCGTAAGTTGCACTATTGCGCAAATTAGTAAATTGACACTTAGTTAATGAGGGATTTCCCCAACAACGCTTTATGTAAAATATAAACTATAATCTTATTAATTTCGCGTGATGAATTAGCATTTTTCGCGCGTGGGCATGATAACGCATTAAAAGCAGGTAAATCTGCTACTTATGAATACAACAAAGCACATAAGCGCAAGCTATAACTCATTAACATTTAAATTTAAATTTAGAATGACTTTTACTTTTTAAATTAAACAGTATTAACGAAATAAAAAAATAAATGAAACTTATAATTGCATGCAGATGTCCAAAAAGTGTTACTTTTGAGATTTTTTAATGCCATTTTTGTACCTTTAGAATTCTGTTAATCTTCCCCAAAATGCAGGAAATGGCATTTCAGAGACGCCAGATTTAAAAATTTCCGGGGGGGTGGCATGCACCCGAACCTCCCTAGGTCAACGACTGCCAACTGCAGGCGCCAGCCCGCCGTCGGCGGGCTATACGACTCAGATTACAGGAAATAACTAAATCTCACTCATTTTCATGCCACAAAGTTGGAAGGTCTGCTCTACAGACCGACGGGATGTCGCAATTGTGGTGGATCTTTTCCTCACAAAGGTCTTTGCCCTGCCAAAGGCAAACAGTGTCTAAAGTGTGGCAAACTTAACCATTTTCAAAGCGTTTGTCGAAGCAGACCTATTGCACAATACAGTGGCAGTCTCGCACAGCAAGACCCCACTTAGAATTACCATAGCAACGCCACACGAAACCCGATACGACCCCTCGAGCATTACACCACCGGTGACTCAGACGACGATTATATCTACGGAATTCACAGCCTCGATAAAAGCCCTCGAGTTAACGTCACAGTGGGTGGCCATTCGTTTAGCACAATAGTTGACACAGGCGCTACTATAAATGTGATCGATGAACGCACATATCAGACTTTGCGCGGTATCTCTCTACAAAAGACAACGACGAAAGCATTTACGTACAACTCCACAACCCCGGTACCGTTCCTTGGGAAGTTTACAGCAACTGTCAAAACACGCCGGAAAATTACCGCGGCGACCTTTTATGTATTTATGTATGTATGTATAAATCTTTATTAAAATATTAAAAGCAACACCTCACAACAAACGAGCTTACAATTTGCACTTACTTATCAATAATTATTATACTAATTTCTGAATTAGTATTGATATTATTCATTAATAGAGCTAAAATATCATTATTATAATGTTTAATGAAGTTCCTAAGAAGTTAATTTCTAATTTAAAAATATCATATGAAGTTAAAAAGACATCTATTAACGAACACTCTTTTAAACCTTTCTGTTCGAACTCTCGGTAGTTCATACTCATGTCCGCGATTGCGTAATTCTAATTGACGACTAGGAGGCAGCAAAACTTGTAGGGCATGGTTGGGATCCGTAGTTATTTTCTCCCATAAATCTCTGTCTTTATTGTTTTATATATCAACAATCGATACCTGATACATAAGATATCCATACTTATATGCACGTTTTAAAAGTTTATCTACTTGACTAAGATACTTAGAATACGACGCACATCCCCAGACCTCTATACCAAAAACTATTTGATAAAATAAGACTATGGAACAGAAGATCCAGCTCTTTCCTAGAAAACCCGTAGTATTTGCAAATCCGAATAATGTACATTCTGCTACAGGCTTTACTCATTAATTCATCTAGAGCATGTCCCACATGGAAGGATTCTCTTGAAACGTTACACCAAGTATCTTCAACCAATTTTTACGAACAATCATAGGCAGAGGCGCAGGAAGTGGCCGGGTTATCTTGCCGTGAATGACTATCTCCCACGTCTTTTTGTAGTTAAGTTTCATGCGATTTGTTTCCGCCCAGTTGATAATATTGTTTGTTTCCATATAAGAGGCGTCACTATCATCTGTGACCTTAATCCCTAGATTTATGTCATCTGCAAATTTAACAATTAAGTTTGAGGCTTGAACAGGACGGATATCATTAATCATCATAGAAACCAGTATTGGACCTAATACTGTTCCTTGAGGAACTCCACGATTTATAGCCAAACATTCTGTTTTAACGCCATCAACAACGACTCGTTGATACCTATTGGTTAGGAAATGAATGATCCAATTGGTAATATAGGGACTAATAGGAAGCTTCTTCACCTTATTGCATAAAATCTCGTGCGGTACAGTGTCAAAAGCTTTACTGAAATCAAAAGAGAAGACGCGTACCATACTAGCATTACCATCCAACCATTCCATCCAGGTATGTTGCGCTTTTATTAGGGCCATTGTAGAGCTATAACCTCTTTTATATGCAAACTGATCTTTATGGATGGCGTTTTCCATCACCTGGACTAATTCAGTTGTATAGATTGCTCTTTCAAAAAGGCGAACAATTATATTAGTCAACGAAATGGGATGTAATTGGTTTGATTCTGTCAGAGGAGATTCTTTGGGGACAGGTAGAAGATTTGCTAATTTCCAACTGTCAGGAACAATGCCCAGTTTGATTGAGCTGTTAAAAATGATGGTTATCACAGGCGCAATGTCATACGCATAGGTGTTCCAAAACCAATGTGGTAACTCATCTGGACCCGAGGTGGTTCGTTTCTGATTTAATAGTAGTTTACAAACAGTATGGACGGATAATTCAGGTACTCTTGTGCCACGGGGAATAGGGAGAGGTTGGGGGTAACATAGTCAGTATCTGTATTAATAGTTTGAAAATGCTCATTCATTACCTTTGGATCAATAATGTGGCTTAATGGTACTTCATTATTACCACGACCAGTTATTTTGTTAACTAATGACCACCATCTTTTATATCCACAATTTTGGTTCTTATTTTCTTGTTTAACTGCTTTGAGTTGATTGCTCCGAATGAGTTTATTAATCCTTTCTTGTAGGCGATGACTGCTCTCGTTATCTCTCTTGTTAATGGCATTTTTCCTCAGCTTTAAGAGATGCTTAACTATTGGAGAAAGAAAAGGAGGGTCTCTACTAGATACTCGTGTTTTAATAATAGAGAAACATTGTTCGTATGTTGGCCCAGATTTTGTTATAAAAGTTGTTGATCATTTCGTTTGGACAAGAAGTACCACTGGAGATTGTGTCCCATTGAAAGTCCTCCATTTTCCGCAACATTTTTAACTTATTGTGCTCTCTTAAGTCGCGAAACTCTACTGTTTTTCTTATGGCTTTTGCCTTAACCACAGGTTTAAGTAAAACAGCCAGATGGTCAGATCGTACAAGGCTTTTTATCGTTTTAGCTTTACTCTAGAATTTGGGAACATTTGTTACAAACACATCAAGGATATTTTGGCCACGAGGCGGAAGATTCACAATCTGTACTAACGAATGGTAATTTAG